AAACATCTATTAAATCTCATGTAAAAAATCATAATTTTTTTCTGAATATTTTTAATTGGAACAAATCCCTTTAAATAAACCTTCTAATGATTGATGTCTTTTACCATATATTGCTTAGTTGCCATGAATTTTTAAAAATGAGTATGAAAGGATAGTAATGTTTAGGATAAGATGCAATCTGTCAAGACAAACTAATTTGGAATCACTCAGTTTCCATATCAACTTTGAAGAAAAAATAAAATCTTAGCATGGGAAATCTTTCAACATTTCTGGGAGGTTGTAAAGAATCTAGGAAAATAGAAATATAAAGCAAAATGTATAGATAAAAAGTGTCTTATTACATAAGTAACGAATTAAACAAAATTAACAGAAATTAATTTTTGAGTCAATTACTTGAAATATCTTGATATTTCAGGAAATAGTCATATACAATGGAATATTCTTTGTGTCTGAAATTTGAGTAAAAGTATCCCAACGATTAAACTTTGTACCAAATAACTTTGTTATAATTCCTATAACATATATTATAGGACTGTGTCAACTCAGTTGCAGCAGATTTTTGTCTGAAATTTGAGTAAAAATATTCTAACAATTAAACTTTGTACCAATTAACTTTGTTATAATTCCTTTAACATATATTATAGGACTGTATCAACTCAGTTGCAGCAGATTTTTGTTGAGGTTAAGTAATTAGTGAACATACAGAATTTATAAGGTGCTATTACAAAGCAAATTTGTCTTTAAAATGTGGAGAATGGGGACTTCTTAAACAAGATCAAAATGTCAGGTAGTCTCATTACTTTCCTGATCATTCTTAGAGAGCTAAAAACATCCTGTGATCACATTAAGTTGCCTAAGTCTCAAATCAGACAATAGAAGGTCTGGTCCCATGTAATACACATTATCAAACAAAGATAAGACTCCTTTTCCACCTTGGGTTTGTTATAGAACCCAGAAATGGTGCATGTGTGTGCGGAGCGGGATGGGGTGTATATGGTTGATGTTTCTCTCATTTGTTTGCTCTCCCTCCACTGTCTGCTTTGGACTCCTGAGCAAGGGAGAGAAGAAGGCTAAGAGGAGCAGCAGTGTTGCAGGATGGCTTTGCACTCACTAGACCTGGCAGGTGTTTACAGCTGCCTTTATTTTATTTTCTGTGATCACAATCATGGGCTCTGAACAGACTTCTCACCAAGGACCATGGCTTTTCACTGACTTAGTAAGACCCATGAATCTCTGGCTTCTTTTTTTTTTTTTTTTGAGATGGAGTCTCACTCTGTCGCCCAGGCTGGAGTGCAGTGGCGTGATCTCAGCTCACTGCAACCTCTGCCCCATCCTGCCAGATTCAAGTGATTCTCCACCTCAGTCTCCTGAGTAGCTGGGATTACAGGCACCTGCCACCACGCCTAGCTAATAGCTAATATTTGTATTTTTAGTAAAGATTGGGTTTCACCTTCTTTGCCAGGCTGGTTTTGAACTCCTGACCTCGTGATCTATTCACCTCAGCCTCCCAAAGGGCTGAGATTACAGGCATGAGCCATTGTGCCCAGCCAAATCTCTAGCTTCTTTACAATGTCCACAGCCGCTGGAGATTTGCTGAGACATTTCCAGCTTTTGTCTGCTGAGGTCCCATCACCCGTCCAAATGTGGGTGGGTGCAATTAGTTCATATGACACACTCTTGAGGTATTTGTTTCCATGAATGACTGGAAAAAAAGCTGAAACCTACATTGCCCTCTCTCCTTTGGCTCACCTGCCACCATTTAACTCTTTAGATCTCTCAGGTAGGAACTAGATTACATTCCCAATATACTCTTAACTTCAATTTCTCCAATAGTCTGGGTTTTTTCCTAGATTTAAGGTGAAGAAGGAAAGATTCTACACTTTTCCCAATAGCAGAGATTTCTTTAAAGGAATCCTTTTCATAAATCTTTTTTTTCAAGCTCAGTAACCCGACCCTTTCATTTGTTTGAATTGGGTAAGGGTTTTATGCATCTTATATACTGACTTTTGAATCTTCTTTGAAATTCTTGTCTCACAAATCAGCTTTTTTTTTTCTGACATTTATCATGCTAAAGGAGTCTTACATTTATCATGTTAAGAGTCCTGGCTTAAAATTCTGATTTAATATTCTGTTACTTAAGACTAGATTAGAACAGAACAAAACAGTCTAGAATAGAACAGAACACAGTAAAAGGAACAGACTGAATTACAAGAAAGGAATAGAAGTAATTAATTCACTGGTTCTCAAAAATTTTTAGAGAACTTTTTTTTGAGACAGAGTTTCGCTCTTGTTGCCCAGGCTTAAGTGAGATGGTGTGATCTCGGCTCACTGCAACCTCTGCCTCCTGGGTTCAAGCAATTCTCCTGCCTCAGCCTCCCGAGTAGCTGGGATTACAGGTGCCCACAAACAATGCCCGGCTAACTTTTGTATTTTTAGTAGAGATGGGGTATCACCACATTGGCCAGGCTGGTTTCTTAACTCCTGACCTCAGGTGATCCACCAGCCTTGGCCTCCCGAAGTGCTGGGATTGCAGGGGTGAGCCACCACACCTGGTCTAGAGAAGTTTTTAGAATGGGGAAAGGACATCAAGGTCCATCCACCACCGAATTATTTATCTTTTTTTTCTAGTGGATAAAGAACTCAGTAGTAATAAAAGAGCAAAAGAAAACAAAGAAAGTAATCAAATGGCAACAAGCCAGCAATTATAAAAAATAACAAATCCCCAAATCATCCGTATATTATACCCAATAGTAATTCTGTACATGTGATTAGAAACAACTAAGAACTCTGATGAACTCAAGAAAAGGGTTTTGTAGCACTGCAAAAGGGTCTTCCTTAAAAGCTAAAATTCCAGCTTTTTACAGGTGTAGACACACAATTGCCAAGCAATTTTATGACAGCCAAATATTAGAGTCCTCTGCAAATCCAAATTACATTACTTTTAGTTGATAAATCTTTAGTTGTAGAAGCTTTCACAATTAACTTGGGCAATACTAGTTAGAGACTCTTAGTACTTCATAAAAAAAAAAAGTTATATTATTCTGACATATCATTCTCCCATAAAGAGGAAATAATTTGCATTTTCAACCTATTAAAGATAAATTTTAGATGACCTTCATGGCCCAAGAGTGGGTCCTGTAGAAGGCTCTGAGAAACATCCATATACCAAATTTCCACACGGTTTTGAATCATAGGCTCCTCCTGTAGTCTGGTGAATCCTATGCCTACCTTTCCAAAATATAGTTATCAATATATGTTAAGTAAACCTAGTGATGTGTGCATTAAATAAAAAGGTCTAATATCTATGTAGTTTTGAAATAATAATATCAAATAATACTTCAAGGTTGCTATACTAAACTTAACTGTATAATAAGTAGGTAATACATAAATATATATTGTTTCTATTGATGACAAAAATACCATAAATGTTGGTGTGTATTGTTTCCTACAGATGAAGGAAATTATCCATTTCAGTTAAAGACTAGTAAAAAGAAATCCCTCTCTAAGTACCCTGACCCCATTTATATAATCCAGGATTAAAACTTGATCTAGTCTAACTTCAATTTTCAGGCAAGAAATAGGCCCAGAATATCAGTTGACTTTCCTCAATGCAGATCATAAATAGATAACCTGAAGTCAAAATGGCTGGCTTTTAATTCACTGGTACTTCAAGAAGACCAGTAACGTGACCTTTGAATTTCATTTTACTGAAAGGATTTGCAAGGTCATATATATAGAAAGCTACTTTTTAGGAATGAATGCAAGTGGCCTGTTAAAGAAAGTGCATATAAACTTGTTTGTCAGCCAGGAAAAAGAGTGAAAATAAAGGACCACAAATAATTCTGTTCATTTCAAAGAGCTTTATGTGATCATCCCAACCAGTTTCAAAAGTTCAAATCTAACAAAAGTAATTTGTAAAATGGTAGAAATATTATGGGTTTGCTTTATAAATAGTCTCCGTTCTTCAGGGAGCAGGGAGAGGATGGCTGTTATAGGAGAGACAGACCTACCAAAACAAACAGAAATCCTCTAAATTTAGCTAATCCACGCTTTTAGATTGCATTTTGAGGTCACTTTGATGATATTAGAATCATTTGTCACGCTCCTGGTGGTGTAAATAACACTTGTAGGGAATTATGCCAAGCACACTATCAAGAGGATACTGGGGACTTTTGTTTTCCAGTCAGGGTTTCACTAACTATCTGAGAAATAACCTGTTAGGATAAATTATTATACAATTGAAAATATAACAATAATACTCAATACTTTGTGAACATCTACTAGGTGGCAGGCACTATTCTAAGGGCTTCACTCACCTCACTTCCCTGAATCCTTACAGCAACTTTATCATTATTATTATTATTTTGAGATGAAGTTTCACTCTTGTTGTCCAGGCTGGAGTGCA